TGGGCCGTGGTGTGCCAAGCTCTCCAGCTCCGCGGAGAGGTTTTGCGTGGAGGAGCGGATCCGCTTTCCGCAGAGCCGGCCTGGGCTGGACTTCACACGTACCGGTACCCTCAGCTTCTTACAAAAATCATACCGGTAGCTACCATGTCCTTAGCTCTGCTCTGGGATTAGCAGCCTCCCTCTCGGTTATCAACAGTGAGAAAACTGGTGAAGCGGGCTCAGCAGGGTCTGCGTTTTCTGCGTTGCATGAGAAAAGCACATCTTCCTTCCTCTGTCCTGACCACTTTCTACAGGGGGACGATGGAGAGCATCCTGTCATACAGCGCCGCAGTCTGGTTTGGAAGCATCACTGCTTCAGACAGGAAGGCGGTGCAGAGAGTGGTGAGGATGGCCGAAAAGATCACTGGCGGCTCCCTCCCATCCAGGACATAGCACAGAAGTATTGTTTGAGCAAGGTCTGTAAGATTATCTGGGACACTACACATCCTCTTCACGACCTGTTTTCCTTGTTACCTTCTGGGAGGAGGCTTCGTGGTATCTGTAGCAGAACATCCAGGTTCAGCCAGAGTTTCATTCCATATAGCATTAACCTTGTGAACTCTCAAGCTTCCTCCTTCTGTTATATATTCAAGATGGACAGTATTTAATATTTATTTGTTATGTATACGTAGGGGTGTGGGCCTATACATATGTTGTACATAGTATGTTTAGGTGTGTGTCATGTATGTGTTTCACTTTGAGAGCGGGCAACTAAATTTCATTTTTGATGTGTGCCGTTGTGCCTACAGTAAAAAAATGACAATAAATCTTATCATCTGATCTTCTCTCTGATGGCAGCGACAGGGAGGTGGCAGGGGAGGCTTGCACTGCCCGGTCACGGTGCAAGCCACGGGAGCAGTGGTGGGATTCAGCCAGTTCGCACTCAGTTCGGCAGAACTGGTAGCTAATTTTTTGTTGGCCAGGCCCAGAATGGACTTCCGGAAATGGCTGTTCACATATTTGAATCTCACCAGTGCACAGGAGGGTTGGTGGAGGAGAAGGAGGTAGTGGCTGCCACTGGGCCGGTGATCTGCGGGGTGAAGTGGGAAGAAAGCCCCTCCAGTGGTGCGTGGCAGTGGCGGAGCCTTTTGCCGTCATTCCCCCTGGCTCCGAAACAGCGGAGGGGGACCTGGTAAGGCGACCGAGCCTCCCCCGCCCATCCTCTGTAGCATGGCAGTCCGGATTGGGAGGGTGGTGAAAGGAAAGGTAATGGCCTGGCTGCAGAGGCCCTAAAATAAGGGGGTGCTCCATCTCCTCCCCCACCTGCCTCGCCTCAGTCACGGCAGTGCGCTCTCCTGCCCCATTGCGGCAGTGAGGTGGGACAGAGTGGGCGCGGTCCTAACTAGGGCTTATTTTTAGGGTAGGGCTTATATTAGGCCCACCCTCAAAAATCAGGTTAGGGCTTATTTTCAGGCTAGGGCTTATTTTCGCGAAAACAGGTAGTATAATAGCTTTTTATTTTTAATGCAGACACATGTCACACTTTAATTATTAGGATTAAAATAGCTGTCATAAAGGCTTGTCTATTTACAGGTGGTCATGATGGATGTTGCTAGTCACAAAACATCCATGGGAAACAAGTTGCTGAGGTCATTCCCTCCCTCCCTCTCTCTCCAGCACAGCATCCTTCCAAATGAGCTACCTAAGGCTATCTCCAGGAAATGGGTTATCCCATTATCCAGATTGTTAGATCTCCTAGAACAGAGGCCCCCAACCTTTTGGGCACCAGGGACCGCTTCCATGGAAAGAGATTTTTCCACGGACCAGAGTGGACATGGTTTCACTTGCTGCCTGTATCCTGCGGGTGAAGCTTTATTGTTTGCGCGGCCCGGTTTCTGGCATGCTGCAGACCGGTGCCAGTCCACGGACCGGGGGTTGGGGACCCCTGTCCTAGAAGCAAAGACTGGTTTGCGTGAAGGATCACAATTCTCATTTTGTGTTGATGTCTAGTGGGTCTTTGAATTTCTGTAGCCCAAATATGACAGTTGTAAAGAAATAAGAATAAAAACTGCTGCATGAGACTAAAGATTCAATACCACAAATGATACATTACACATAATTCTTTATTAGTATTATTTAAAATCTGGACTAATGTATAAGCCAATATCAATTATCAATCAAGGGAGCTACAGCATGCCCATGTGCAACATGCAGGAATAGCAAAGTTTTTTTTTTCATTTTTATTGTTTTCAAACAAAATACCTTATTGCCTATGCCACCATCTTTATTCACATTCATCCATAATGATTTTTAACTTAAACAATGAAAGGTTATGCATGGATACTGTAGACTCACCTCTCTGTATCCTTCCATTTCCTATCTTCTCTTTCTGATCAAGATTATTTATTTATTTATATTCTGCCTTTATTATTTTTTATAAAAAAAATCCAAGGTGGCGAACATACCTAATATTTCTTTCTCTTTAAAGGTTTCCCTCTAGTAAAACATGACTTTATATATGTGTACCAAATGTCACATTCAGGCAATTATTGGAGTAAAAATTATTGGAGTCAACTCAATCAGGAATAGAGTTTTAATAAGGCAGTATCCTATCACATTGAACTGCTTCTGCAATGATCAACTCTGAAAACTGGAATCAAACTTCATTTTTACATAGCATTTATATTTGTTTGCCAGATTAAGGGGAGGGGAGTGAATTCCATGAGAATTCAAACGCTGACATTGTTCACAAGATATGCATTTATTACCGCTATATTTTCTGTATCCCTGGTAACTAGGAATTTTTATTGATTTATATCTTTTGGCATTTGGTTATGTAGAGGGAAAGGGGCTGCAAGGAGATGTTCTCCTTTGATAATGTTTCTGTAATACCAGCAGTGCTTCTGAGTCAACAAACAATTAACTTTAGCCTGAAGAGGGCAGGGTAACTTCATTGTCCATAAGCTTTACAACATAATAGACTTTAAATACACAAGTAGTACACATTCATTCTCCATCATCTTGCAAGCTGCTCCTTACTACTTCCCAATTAACCTTTCCCCCAAATATGCTCAAATATTTCTTATTGTCTGAGATAGCATTTTTCTAAAATGCCATTGGCACCAAAGAGAACACTAGTAGTTGGGTTTTCATAAATATTGTTTAAAGAAAAATAAAAGGTGCAGAAAGCCTAATAAAACCAGGATAAATCCCCCAATCATCACTTGAGCCTCAAAACTAGTTTCCCCTCTGCGTGTAGTAAAATGGCTATTCAGTTATATATAATTGTAATATTCTTAGATTCAGGTACCAGGAAAAGCTTGAAGAGCTGTTGCCACAGTCAATTGGGGCCTTAGGATGTCTAGTAAAGTGATCCTTTGGCCTTGCTGTGCTTGCTGCTGACTCAGTTATAAAATCCAGATCACCCCAATTCAGATGGAGCACAAACAGAAATCCCTTTATCTCATAGTTGTGATCGTGATCCAAAAGACTATTCTTCCCTAGTTTCTTTAGTTTCTTTCTGAAGAAATTCTAGTTTAGTTGCTGGAATCTCTTCCGAAAGGTCCATGGGTTCTTTAAAGTTCATTTCAGCAGCAAGCACTTAACCTTGCTAGACGTCTTAAGACCCCCATTGACTAGTGCAGTGGTGGCGAACCTATGGCACGCGTGCCAGAGGTGGCACACGGAGCCCTTTTTGTGGGCACGCGCCATCGCCTCAGCAGACGTGGTCTCTAAAAGTTCACCATCACTGGCCTAAGGCCAGCCAGCCTGGAGCCGCCATTGGGGAGCCCACCATCCTACCCACCAGAGACCCCCTGGATCTCCCCCAACCCTGCCCGGCTCCCACAGGTGTCCCTCCCCATAAGCAACATCAAGGTGGCCACGCCCACCCCGGCCATGCCCACCCAATTTGCCATGACTACTGCAGCCACACCCATCCAGTGGCCACGCCCATCCAGTCTGGGAAACCCACTGTAGCTGCACCCGGCGATACGTAAGTGGGTTTTGGGTTGCAGTTTGGGCACTCGGTCTCTGAAAGATTTGCCATCACTGGATCGGTGGAAAAAAAACTTCTCTTTTTGATGAATAATCCACTTTGTAATGAACTTTACAGGTTCTGATAGTCCATTCTTGATCTGTACCTGGACCTACTATCTTCTGGAAGAAGGAAATGATAATCAGCTTGTTCATTGTTCAAACAGTCCTGGAAAATTGACTTGGGAGCATTGCTGTGAAGTGGGAAGTGATCAAATAAGTAGAGCTAGCCCAGGAGAATGCATAGACTCATGTATGTTCATAAATGATTGCCTGAAAAGGATTTTTATCTCAGTTCCAACCTTGTCATAAGAGATGCCATGAATGGATGAAGCAATAGCAAATGGCCAAAGTATTGATAAAATAGAGGTTTTAAATGTATTTGTAGATTCATGCAAAGCATGATTGATTGTATCTCTTTAAAATTATAACTGAGAATACCTCACATTATTTTCTTAAAGTAATTGATGTATGATTTCAGTCTTTGATAGAAAGAAGCTGGATCTCCATCAATTAAAGATGTGAAGGAGACCTTTCTAATAGATGCTTTCAGATGCACTGTTAATAATAGAAACAGGTGCTCTATTCAGCTTTTCTCAGCATTAGTTTCCCAATTTTAGTGGCAATCACATGCATGCTTATTCAGAACAAATCTGTTCAATTCAATAGGACTTACTTTCCAGCAAACCTTGTTGAACCCAATGAGTTCAGTAGATATATCCAGGTTCACATTGTTATTCTATCACTTTTATTTCCTAAAAGGGAAAAAATTATTTTCAAACCAAGTACATTTAGCTGCTCTATGTAGTAGTTCACTTAGTTTATAGCAGTGATGGTGAGGATATCTGTCCCATCCCTTGTTGATTCTCCATTGTAAAAAAGGGAAGCATCCATTCCCTTTGAATTCACTGTCTATGGATCTCATTCCAGAAGTGATATTGCATGCTTTCTTCCATCTCTAGATGGATGTTCTTCATGTTGCTTTATCAGGGATATTTTTTTCGACCAATGCAGAAAAGCAGCTTCTTGTACAGACCAAGGATCCTGTCTTGTCCCAGTTTGAAAGCAATTATGACAATTTCCATGCCAACTATAATATAAACGGAGAGAAATAAGAAAAAGTTGGGATGTTGCAGTTTGACATCACCAAAGCCAATGGTCGTTAAGGTGATAAAGCAAAAATAGAAAGCTTCCTCAAAATTTAAAGCTCTTTCCCAATGTGGAAGAATAGCTGCAGCACAGGAGATGTATGCAAAAACAATAACAGTCATCAGTGAAAAGGGCACATCCAGCTTTTCTACTTCTTTCCCTATATTATTGATGCTGCTGATCACATGATTCACCATTGCCCCTTTGTCCAATTCAGGACAGGAACTCCATCGTTCAAATCGGGTCAGTTTTGGAGGTGCAAGAAGAGCGTTTTCCCTGATAATAAGCCTTTCAAAAATTTCAACATTTTGATTTTGCCCAGGCTTTTTTTTAAAGGAAGAATTATTTTTCAAAGCATCCTTAATATTTAAAGGCTCAAGAAGAACTATTTTGGCTGGCCCAAGTGAAGCTGAGCCTCCTTTGGAATCAGTGTTTTTACAGCAAGACATAAAAGAAAGCTTGGCTAATACTTTTGATTGTAGTTTCTGGGCACGATTGTAAGAGGTGGATAATATAGCTGCTAGGATGTCACCCATGTCGGTGAGGACCAGAAACATGAGAGGTATACCAAACAATGCATACACCATGCACAAGTATTTCCCAAGTCTCGTCACGGGATAAATATGACCATAACCTGAAACCAAATAAATCCAGAGAAAACTGTTAAAATGTTAGTTGTTTTTCTATGGCATTTTGATTTGAACAAAGCTAATGAATATGCATATAAAAGTGGCTTTGAGGAGTTTATCTTTTATTAATGTTATATTGGAGCATTAATTGTATAATTGTGCTAATTTTCTTTGTCTACTTATTGATATCATTTCTGAAAATACATATTTGTTTTAAATAAATAAAATATGCATATAATATCCTTTTTTAAAAAAAGGAATCTGTTGTCTGCATTTAAAACATGAAGGCAAATAATAAAACTCTCCTGCTTCCTAGTCTTTCCATTAGAGATGTTAGACCATTTTGATACTTTTTTTCCCCCAAAAAGAGCTGTGCAGATCAGAGTTTTCACTGCAAAACATTGAGATGCCATGTACTGTTAAGATCTGCAAAGCCCTCCAGCTGGTTCCTGTAACCCTAAATATTTGTGGATGATTTTGGAAAATATTGTTAAATATACACATTTACAATATGGAACGTAGGTTTTAGCTACTTAAAAGCTTGCTTTTGTTAACCCTGGCTGATTTTGAAGATGCCAGTTATTTAGTTCTGTTACAGTGGAATATGGCCTTGTTGTTTATGTTGTTTATGTTTTAGAATATTGGAATTTTTCCACAGTTTACACGGAGTTTATCTCCTTTCATATTAATCTGCCCAGTCACTGGATCATCAGTAGAGGCCCTCCTATTACATCACTTCCTGGGGATTTATTTAACATCAGTCAAGAAGCAGTACTTATCTGCAGAAAATTCTTCCCTAAAGAGAAAGTATGGGCCAATGTGATTAATACTTAGAGGCATGCTAAAAGAACCCATTTATTCACCATGACATTCCATATTTCAACATGGCATTTCTCTATCTCTGTCTTCACCTGTTTAGTTACACGTTTGCTGCATGATCTTTGAACATTCCTAAGTACATTAATATGCTCTTTGAAAAAAATATTAAGAAGCAGATTTTGATTAGCCTATGGGGCTTAGCTTTATAGTTCAACCTTGCATAGAATGTGTTTCTTTATCCCAAATTGCTAGGAAGCTGGATAGAACAGTTTCCCCAACTTTGTTGAAATAGTCTTCTTCATCACATCTGGCACCCAAAACTCATGGAGAATCCTGTGTAGGGCTGTGTTACATAGAATGCAAAATCCAAGCACTGCGGTGAAATTCAGCACTCAATATGGGAACCTTTATAATGGTACACACATACTTTTCACTTTCCCAATTTTGTAGCCAAAGTGATATATATGTCCTGTTAAACTCCAGATTCTTTTCCCTCTTAATTTCCACACCTATAAGCACTGCTGAATAAGGCTGATTTTTCAGGCTAGAGAGAACAGCTAATTGCTTTAAGTGTCTTTCTTTTTATCCTTTAATCATAGTCATCAGAAGGACTTAACCCAGCTGGCGTCCTCCTAAAAATTGGAACAAAGCTCAAATACTAACAATTTGTGTCTAAGGGTATCGGCCATTGTGAGAAAGAATACTGTTCCTCTTTCCACTTTCAAAAGTTTTGGCTTCTCCCAGTTAACTCAGAACATGCAGAGTGCATCCTACTATGACCATTCGCTTTCTGTGACTGCTTGACTAATCCAGAGCTGATTGTGCCCAAACAGCTACAGGTTCATGGATCATTGGCAAGTAGCTTTCAGGGCAGTGTGACTGCCTATGAAGGCCATCGGCTGAGAGAATAATGAGCTTCCTTCTGCAGTTTTGGCCATTCTGAGAACAGGCCTGTCCCAGTATCTTCACTGTGGTCAGATTTGGGCGTCTAGACTGCAGTGCGAGGTCAAAGTTTTTTCAAGCATCTCTGAGATCCAGAGGCAGAATTCTGATCTGAACACCCAGCAGACACATAGACTAATTCCCACTGTATCCTATGTCAGTGTAAGTTTTTTCTCCATTACTTTCAATCATTTAGGTCAAGGGTCTTCAAACTTGGCTCTTTTATGACTTGTGGACTTCAACTCCCAGAATTCCTCAGCCAGGCACGCTGTGCCTGGCTGAGGAATTCTGGGAGTTGAAGTCCACAAGTCATAAAAGAGCCAAGTTTGAAGACCCCTGATTTAGGTCAATGGATAGATAAGCAGCAGTGCATAGGGAAACCTAAAATAGTGCTATAAGGGTGAAAGTCATACTTAGCTAACCAGATTTATTGTACTGAACAAAAGTCTTGAAATATGTGATAATTTCAAACAGACTTCCATTAAATGAAATCCTAAGGAACTGTTGCCAGACAAAGTATGCAGCTGAACTAGATAGCCAGCTAGTTTGCCCAGATAAAAGGCAGCTTCTTCCCTTGTTCCAAATGTACTTAATATTTAATATTCTACACAGGTTTAGTGGATGTGATGAAACAGATTCACCAAGCAGCCTCCTAGCTTAGGAAAGCAACATCAATATAAAAACATTTTCTATAGCAAAAGATGGCTTTATTGAAAAAGTAGTTTGGTTATTACTTATTGTGTGTACGTTTTTTATTTTTATTTATTATGTATGTAGTGGTAGAGAAGGGAATGAAAATAAGAGAATACATGAAAGAATACTAACAATAACAGTCCTAACTATGTCCATTAATATGCCTCTTTGGCACGGAATGCAGCAGATCAAGTAGTCTCAACCCTGAGTAATAATTGTTAAAATTTCATGCTGTTGTTATTTGGCTTCTAATGTTGAATATAATATATAATAATGGCAATTTTAACAGTTGGATGTTGCAGCCTAAAGATTATTTTCAGTGCAAGAACCGCATCCTGTTGTTCATATATTTTGGAAGAGAATTGTAAGAAAAATCAATACAAAGAAAAGATGTAATTTACCATTAACTCCAAATGCTTTATTGCATGGATTTCTGTGTGATTATGTATCAACATTTAATGGGGGTTTTTTTGTATTGCTGTAAACAACAATTACAAAATATTGACATAATCTCAGGCAAGAGATCACTGAAGTATGTAAACAGCAAAAGTATTAAAATCCAGTAACATATTCACAACGAAAAGCAAATGGGAAAAAATGTCAAAAGGCTGTTCATATTGCATACAAATCCCTTTTAAAAAATACAGAATACCAATATGACACTGTCAGCCATTACTATATATGTATAAGCATACATGTACAGTTTGTAAATTTGATTCTTAAATCAACTTAGTGTTATTAATTTACAGCTAAAACCTAAAAAAATGGTCTCTCTCTCTCTATTTATATGCAGAAGAAATTGTTTACAGAATGTTAGTGATAATATTCTAACAGTTCTTTATGAAAATATAATAAAATAGAATATATACATGATAGAATAGAGAGAGAGTGACAAAGAAAATATATGGAGAAAATAGAAGATCGATCTGTCTGTCTGTCTGTCTAACTATATCTATCTATCTATCTATCTATCTATCTATCTATCTATCTATCTATCTATCTATCTATCTATCTATCTAATCATCTATGGTGCTCTTAACCATCCTAACAATCAAACATAAAGCCTTCTCATAATAGTAACAATTGAGCAAAATTTTACTGCTCAATTATGGAAATTTTAATGGAAAAGCCAATAAATAAAAAGCAAAATAAGTTTAGTTTTGGATCAGCATGGTCAATGAGTAAGAAGTAAGTAAGAAGTAAGTAAGAAGTAAGAAGTAAGTAAGAAGCACTGCATAGAGGGAGAAGTGAAGTTAAAATTGGCCTATTGATTCAATTATAGAATCAGAACAGAAATGTGCTACACTGATTTGTTATTATATCTCTTCATACATTTTAAAGATAAATATTACTAACGTGACAGTTTTATTCCTACATGAGGCAAAAATAATTCTGTAGAGATACTTAGGAAATATGATTTCGGATCTGCAATTCTATACGTCTAGAAGAAGAACTTTCTATTTCTTTACTTGCATGGCTTGTCTATTCCAAGTGACATTAGGAATGAAGCTAAAAAGCCACAGGAAAACATATCGTTAGCTGTTCTTTTCCTCCATGGGAAAGAAGCATATCAGCCAAAATAAGCTGAGTCAGCTATGCACCTTAAATGATTCTCCTACAAACTGCTCTGAAAGGCTACCCATGTTCTAGCCAAAGAAGCACATTTGGAGTTGAGCAGGACTGATGCATTTGGACTGAATGGTTTAAAATGTGAATTATCAGAACAGGCATAGAATTGGGAAACAAACAACAGTAGGCTTAACACCTGAGTACAAAACTTTACCATGGATGCAGAATGTTATATGTTCCTATTTGAACTGACAGATGTAATGGCTGCACTGATAACTTTGTGAATTTAGCTTGTAATCGCTAGAGTTTCCTGTATCCAAAAAGTAGATTGCCGAAAATAGCTACTTAAATATTTAAACATCTTTATTTGCTTGATGGAACTGCTACAGATATTTCCATGAATGCTGGCAATATTGTTTGGTGAAGAGTAACATCTTTGCCTTCTTCACTGGTGAGTAACATTTTTGCTTATGAGTAATTTATTTCTATAATCCTCATCTTTGACACTGGTAGAAATATAATAACAAAATTATGCCTAGCTCCTTAATTGTCCACAGAGCATATGCTAGGAATATTATGACATTAGCAGACTGAATGAAACTGAAATCTTCATCCTGTTCTTTGTATTTTACTTTTGAGATTTTAAGAGCAAGACACCCATTTTCCTTGTTTGCCTTCCAAATTGGAAAATCAACTTGATTTCTTTGAGTTTTCAGGGATGTACTGTAGTTGGTGATCCAAGCATTTCTAAGTCTTAGGGCATCTATTTTAAACCCAGCACTACCAGATGGAAATGAAAAATGGCTCTACAAAATATGTTCCAGAGCAGTGTTTCTCAACCTTGACAATTTTAAGGCATGTGGACTTCAACTCCCAGAATTCCACAGCCAGCATTGCTGGCTGTGGAATTCTGGGAGTTGAAGTCCACATGCCTTAAAATTGTCAAGGTTGAGAAACACTGTTCCAGAGGGTCTACAAATGGGGAGCTTAGGCCTGTCTCAAATGGGGAGCTTAGGCCTGTCTCAAGCAGGCTAGAATTGCTCATTTCTACTTCTTGTTGGAGGAGCACAATGGCTCAGTGGTTAAGTCACTGGGCTTGTCAGCTGAAAAACTGACAGCTGGGGTTCAAGACCCTAGTGCTATGCAATGGGGTGAGCTCCCAGTACCTGCTCCAGCTCCTGTGACTTAGCAGTTTGAAAGCATGCAAGTGCAAGTAGATAAATAGGTACCATTTCAGTGGGAAGGTAATAGCATTTTGTGTGCTTTCGGTGTATAGTCATGCTGGCCAAATGACCATGGATGGGTCTTCAGACAACACTGGCTCCCTCGGCTAAGAAAAAGAGATGTCCAATCATATCCTAAAGTCAGATACAACTAGACAGGGGAAATCTTCACCTTTATATGTTGTTGAGCTGCAGCTTTTAGTATCCCTAGTAACTTCAATAAGCATGGCTGAGTGAGGTGATGATATATAATTGTAATTTGGCAACATCTAACTGCATATGCATTCTAATTGAAGGATAGTACAACAAGGAGTAAATTCTATTAAATCTAAAAGGACTTACTTGCAAAGTTTCACATTATTGACTTAGAATGCATTAACTCTCACCACAAACCATCATAAATTATTGGGTTTTTATTATTATTATTGCAATTAAAAATGAAGAAGGCAGAAGGCTTGATGTTGCCCAACAATTGTTAAGCCCTTGGGTGGCAAATTGAGTAGCAATACTGGTGCCAACTATGGGAAGGAATACCATATTTTTTATTTAATTATAGCAGTTGATTCCAATTTTAATGAGGGATTTTAAAAACATATTTCCAATTTTTGTTCCTCAATTTGTGCGATGAACTTTCTTTTTGGGGTAGTTAGATATCAATGGCCACTCTTAAGAATTGCTTATCAGCAAATATGATGGTACTAAAGCTGTTCCCGTCTTTAAAGGGGCACTTTGAGGGAAGGGCTCCTTCAAAGCAAATTTCATTTCATTTCTAACCAGTGAAAGCAGAGCAGCTGCAGGTCAGTAAAAGTGCCTTCTGTGCAGGCATGGAAGTCACTGTTGATGAGGCAAGCACCCAACTGAATCAGCTCTGCCTCAAAGATTCGCTGAGATGTTGCTGCCAGCCTTCATGAGGTACCATAAAAAGGTAAGACAATCTGCTTTCACTAGGAAAAGCATATTATGAACAAGTCTTTTGGCAGGGTAATAAACATCTGGAGATTGATCAAACTTCACAAGGATGTTGAAATTAAGATTATAATTTGGGGTAAGGAAACTCATTATTATATCCGTTATTAGTCTGTCCTAATTTTATCTCATGGCTTGTTTTAATACAATAAGTACATAATTGAACCCAAAATTGCCATTGCTAAGCAAGACAGTAGTTCAATGAGTTTTGTACCATTTTTACGACCTTTCTTGCAACAGTTGCTAAGTGAATCGCTGCAATTGTTAAGTGAGTAACACAGTTATTAAGTGAATCTGCCTTCCTCATTGACTTTGCTTGTCAGAAGGTCACAAAAGGTGTTCACATGACCTTGGGACGCAGCAACGGTCACAAATATGACACTGGGACACGGCAACTGTCATAAATACACCCCAGTTGCTAAGTGTCCGAATTTTGATCACATGAAACTGGGACACTGCAACCATCATAAATGTATGCCAGTTGCCAAGTATCTGAATTTTGACCACATGATGCTGCAACAGTCGTAAGTGTGAAAAACAGTCCTACGTCACTTTTTCTGTGTCGTTGTAACTTCAGTCACTAAACAAGTGGTTGTAGATTGAGGACTACTAGTGTGGACAGACCTAACCAAAATTGGGGGGAAAAAATAATGCATTCTGAATCACAAGGAAGCAGGGCGGAGAGCTGATGGTAGTGGAACAAATCTACAGTTATCTCTTTATCTGTTGTACCAGGAAATGGTCATCTGTGTTAGTTGTTACTAACTGTTGTAACCAAACAGAGCAATTCTATTATGACTGTTGTCAAGATCCTCAAGACATAACAGTATTTGAAGTTAGGGTACAAAAATGTAATGCAAAACAGGAAAGCCCATTTATGCCAACCAATATGAGTGAGAGAGTTTATCTCCTTGATTGAACTGTATTGAAAAGTTAGGTCTTCAGACGGAGCACAACTCTGTTTACTCAAATGGGGAACCTTGTTTATTGAGGCTCCCAATCATAAATGCAATTCTTTACATCTTCAAGGAAATGGCAAGTGGGTGTTCACTGCAACCATCCATGGGCTGTCAGGCTCTTGAACGGGACATAACTTTTTGCATGATAGACTCGTGAGGCCGGCATGCTATGCAGTTAGCTCACATGATATAATAAATTGATGGGTTTGTAGTCACGTGAGTTGTGGTGAGGGGGGCAGGGAGGGAGGCTCAGCCAATCTCATTGTATACATGTTGTACTTTGATAATAAAGGTTCATTCATTCATTCATTCATTCATTCATTCCACATAGAGAAGCTGAACACACTGGCGATGGGTCTGCCAATGGATCTAGCACATACTGTACGTTCTTGTCCTGTTATTCATATTGTACACTACTGGGACAAAATAGTTGCACGTGATTTGGGGTTCTGGTATCATCAGTAAAAGTCCTGATAATGTTAGCCCATCTTTGAATGGGATATTTAATTGGTGAAGCTTCATGTCCATTGATGACATTTTATAGAAAGTCTTCATTATTGCAGCAATTACAGTACACACTTACTCAAAAGTAAATGCCACCATGTTTAACAGGAGTTACTTTTACATATCTGTGAAGTGAAAGACAGTTGTAGAGGTCTAAATTAGTGGTGTTATTTAAATTTGGGGCGTTTGGTCCCATGTGCTGACTTCAAAGGACTCTGAATTTCATTGAGGGTTGTTTTTTTACTTTACATTTGATTAGACCAAGTACATTTAATGCAAAATACTTCATACAAATCATACTAACCTACTGTGGTGAAGACAGTGCAGCAGAAGAAGAGAGAGCCAAGAAAGGACCATTTCTGTGAAGGATCAGTAAACCATGAAAAGTCAATTTTGTTGATCAAATCACGTGTTCTGTTTGTAAATACCTCATTGTTGGTCTCATTATCTGTTAATAAGTAAGCGAGATGCTGTGATTAGTCAAATGTAATGGAAAATTAAAGACTGCTGTGTTACGTCCATAGACCTATGACATGTTGTGGCAATGAAACATGGGAAACAGTTTATTTAAACAGACATACATCTTCCATTGACTGGAAACAATTCCCTCTGATTTTGCCGCTTTCCTCTCCAGTTCTTGAATGTAGCTACTCTATACTCAATGTTAAGAGAAGTGCACAGTTCATTTGGTCATATATGTTCCAGAATTAGCCTCTGGTATTAAAAAGAAAACTTTAATCTGCTTTAAAGATTAACTTCTTTCTCAGAGTAATAGCTGGTGACATTGAGAAAATGTTGAAGGAATGTTAAGAGGAAAAAAAAACAAAAGATTCATTTAACACTACTAAAAAAAAGCCTACAAAAATATTGTTACTGAATGTTTAAAAAGCAGATCAATCTTAAAAACATTATTGGCACCTTCATTTTTCTTAGAATCCCTCTTTCAACAATGATTACACTTATGCTAGATTCAATCTCCTCACAAATGTGCATGCTGAAATGGTTCCATTATCCCCAGAGACTAGTGGAGGTTTAAGGAATACTTTAGGATTAAAAAATTTAGGATCTACTTTTTGTAAATGCTAAACACGATCTATGTTAGAGAAAATTTCTAAGTCATGCTTTGTTTTATAGCTATTCTTCACATTCCCGTTTCTATTCCTAACAATGTTCCACAAGTCATGTAAAGCACAAGAATGATATTGGGGAAGCAGGGGAGAGAATCAGAGAGTAAATCTGCCTGCAGAACTAAGAAATCCTTTCAATTTAAGCAAGAAGAATATAATGCTACACAAACTCAGATTCCCAAATGTATTTATATATTCAAAATAAGAAGAGAATGAGCATATATTTGGTGCAATTAACTTGGTTGCCTCCTCTGCTAACATTGCAAGCTCTTACCTGATAAATCTTTTGAAAGATTCCAAAGTTTCAGCATGAAGCTCCTGTAGGCTTCACCTTCACAACTCTCTCGGTAGCCTTCCACTTGAGAAAACATGAGCGCTCCCAGAAGGGCATAGACCACTAATGAACAAATGAAGCAAGCGTGGGGAAAGATAGCCCAGAATACCTGACAGCACGTCCTTTCCTTTAGCTGCGAAGGAGATGGTTTTGACTTCATCTTCGCAAACCTTCACATCAACAAGACCAAACCGAAGGCTTCATGAACAAAGAGAAAACATCTCCGGAACTCAAGTAGAGCGTCTTCTTGACCAACAGAAGCCTGTACCCTATTTCTGTTTCATAGCTAAAGAGCTCCTCATTTTATAGCTGGAGTTATTCTTACAATATCCAAGGAACCTGGATAGAGATTGCAACCAACTGTGATTTAAAACATCTGTCTGTCAGATGCTAATACATCGTGCAGAAGAAATATTGATTTTCTCAAGTGCTGTAATGCGTGTATACGATGAGCGACTATACACATCAAGAGTTATCATCATCTGATAGTTGAAGGAAGAGCTTATTTGTTTATAGAGCTATGTCTTTTGCAATGCCCTGCCCTTTGGCAACAGTCAAAGCAAAATTTCCAGTAAGAGAAGGCAAATAGCAAAGAATAGATAATGAGTCCATATAAGCAGGTAATGGATCTTAGTACAATTGGGTATATTCCCCAAGGGGTGAAGATGCAACATCTAATTTTTTCCCCAAGAAAGCTACTAGACTTCTACTACTATATATAGGCTTAATAAAATACTACTTACTACTCTATCTTCCTCTTCTCCTCTGCTACCAGTCCACTTTTGAGGCATTTGCTCTGTGCATAATATCTGTATCCTGAAAATGAGCTAGAATGTGTTCTTTATATAAAATTATCCCTGAATATAATGTTGGGTGAAAGAGAAAAAAACATATCCTGTTTTTCCCCCAACTTTATATCAGTTTGGAGCAGATATAAGAGATGTCCTTTATTTTTGTAACTTATTTACTGATGTATCCCAGCCTAGTCCTAAAGCACAATTCAGTTTAGCCATCATTCTTACTACATACTGGGAAACATGCAAGAACATGGCTAGCACAATTTTGTTCTCATATTTTGCAGATACGGTCCACCCCTTGCCTCATGAAATGGATGAAAATCATTGTTATCCTTAAGCTAGGTAAATCTAGCAACAAATCTTAGAGCCACCAACCCGTCGCTTTTTTGAGTATGGTATATAAATTACTGGAAAGACTACTCTACAATAGAATTAGTCCAGACATGCTTGAAAATGTGGTCTGCTTAGCAAGCAACCTTCCACCCTAACCGTGGTTGTACAGATCAGGTTCTCTCATTAACTACATACATAGAAGAAGGATTTCAAAAACAACTTAAAACCTCTTTGCTTTTGTGAGTCTAACTTACCTTAAAAGATTAAATTATAGCAACTGGACCAAAGTTTATTAAAACTGACGTGTTTCATTACTCATCCAAGTAATTTCTTCAGTTAAAGTGAAAATTTGGTAGGCAGAGAGTCAGATGGTTATTGGAAAGAACCAATTATTGCCAAACAGACTGCAAAATTTTCATTTTGACTGAAGAAGTTACTTGGATGAGTAACAAAACGTCTTAAGTTTTAATAAACTTTGGTCCAATTCCTATGATTTAATATTTTAAGATATTTTTGGCTTGGGTGATTGAAACTTCATTTACAAAAGTATTACCATACCATGTTATCAGAGAACCAGAATAAAATTAGTTTCAAGAACCAGCAGGAAACAATCATAGTCAACTGTATTTCATAAAACAAAGTATTCCATAACTTGAGTGCTACCATTGACAATCCTCAATAGTTTATCCCATTATATTCAAATATTCTTAAACGACAGCCATACATATCTTCATTCAGCATTCCAAGATCAAAAAATTAGTCTGACAAGACCATAGGTTTTTGAGATGGTGAAGCAAGTCCTTATTAGTAGAGGTGTGGCTACCTCCAAACCTTTAGTCATATGGAGGACTTGGTGTTTGTTGGTTCGCAGATATTGTTGTTAGATTCTTTATTGTCACCTGCCATATTAATAAAGTCTAGATTTATTTTAAAAGTTTGTTTTGTTTTATTGTACAAAGATGTGCTATTCTGAAAATATTCTTTTAAGTAGGAAGAACAACGTTTTGTGGATAAATGTAATTCAATTAATTCTACAGTTAAGTGCAGAATTATAATGTGTGCAGTTTCTTGGATCACCAAAGTTAGGAAGCTCTTTCTCTGAATGCTGAAAAGCTTTTAGATAATCAATAACAACTCTCCTTGCATTATTTTATCAATGAGCCGCTTAGATGCTTATTATATTTGGCAACTGTGCTTCAAGCATTAAGTGCTTATGTTTCTATATTCATTGTTTATACATATGCATTAGGGTGGGGTTTTTTTCCCCCTCTAAAAGAATTTATGAAACAAGGAGCGAACAACCATTCCAACATGGCTCAGAATGGTCTTTAGAAAGGAAAACAGGGAAAGCCTAGTTAGGGGATTAAATGTGGCGGTTGTGGCAAGGAGCATATCTGTACCATTAAAACTAATGTTCCTATTGTAATATTCCTGAGCCTCGGCTATATCCTGACTTTAAAAAAAAAATCCATTGGAACAAAATAAGACATCAAAACAGAAACTGCAAAAATACAGAATAAGAATGATTGCCTCTTGCAATAGTATACCTACATGCGTCTTTCAGTCCTTGAATTGGAACAGAATGCAGAAAGTAGGCTGTTAAATGGTGAGGCACTAGGACGGGTAGGCAACCTTGGCTCTTTTATGACTCGTGGACTTCAACTCCCAGAATTCCTGAGCCAGCATGGCTCAGCTTGGAAACTCTCCCTTTCCCCTCAGCATGGCTGGATTGCTTTCATATTAAATATTAAACTTCCAACTGTATTGTATTCCAGAAATGGATACTGATTAGGGCAGGGGTAGGCAACCTTGGCTCTTTTATGACTCGTGGACTTCAACTCCCAGAATTCCTGAGCCAGCCACGCTGAGGGGAAAGAGGTTTCCAAGCTGAGCCATGCTGGCTCAGGAATTCTGGGAGTTGAAGTCCACGAGTCATAAAAGAGCCAAGGTTGCCTACCCCTGCACTAGGAGATAGCATGGCTTCTGAGGAAGACCTGTAGTAATTGCTGATTGCTTTCAAACAATATTGTGTTGGTGTTGATCCCATAAAACTAAGGTGCTGGCTATAAGGGAACTGTTTTCCTATTTCTCTCTTGCTTAGGCATTACATTCTGTAGGAGAGAACCTTCTAAAAATTACCTTGTTTTTAGATGCTTGATTATCAAGCATGTGGGAGGCCCGTCTATGGAAAGCCTAACAATTGCATTTGATCTCCATGCTTTCTGCCTCAAAACTATCTGCCGAGATGCAGCTCTTTAGCCGAGGTATTTTTATTACTGTATTTTAATTTATTATTACCTTGAATTATTTAAATTTTGGATATTTTAATAGTTGAGTCAGCTTTGATGTTCAAGCTGCACAAAAGATAACACAGAAATGAGAAAATAAAATGTTAAAACAACTAGGCAGTGTAAACTATTATGACTTTGACCCATTTGAAATTTCTCACATCCTTATTTTTCTGTTGCGTGGCAAAGATGGTGGAGAATGAGTTATGGACTGTGTACATTATTTTAAATGCGCCTTCCAAATGTAGTACATCCTAGAAGATTATCATTTTTGATCATTAGCTTTCCATGCCGAAAGCATATGCACAAGGGGCTTTTGGCTTGTCCCTTATTTTTCCTGCGATCCAATAATATAAGAAATGAAAATCTACGGGAAAAGCAGAACTTGTCCGACACTACACTGGTATAGTTTTCTTTCTCTCTTTTTCTCTTTTTGTACTTTTTCCCATCTCTGAAAATTAAAGCATGACATTTAAAAATTAAAATTGTGCTTGGAAGTGAACTAGATGCCAATGGCTCAACATTCAGGTCATATACTCTGTTAACAATATAATCGTTTGCAACATTTTGTATATTCTGTGATTTCTAGTCACTTTTCATGGGTAATGTCACAGAAAACACAGTACAATAATCCAGGTAGCCACAAAAATCTGAGTGATTTATGGGAAGAATCACTCTTCAGATTATTTATTCTGATTCTTGTTGGCAATCTTGCTGACATTTTTCAGAGGCAGCTTCTTACTACAGCCAATGAGTAACCAGATTTTTGGTTTAAGAACGAAACCAGAGCAAAAATAGTCTTGGGAGTGCTCTAAACCCTGGATTAATTGTCAGAACAAGGATTGTCAACCCAGTTTTTTTATAATTATTTAATACTGTTCCTTTTATGACTTTTGCTCATAACTGGGTAATATTGTAAGCTAAACAAAGAGAACCCTTATGCCCAGTTAAACTTTTACTAACCAAAAGTGTACTTGGAGTCATACTTTGTGCTTCACTTTGTTAGATTCAACATGCCATTGTAATCTAGTTCACCCAATGCTAAACGCTAAATTATGTGAGTTCACACCCGATGCTAAACTAAACCCAAACAAATCAAAACTCAGTGTGATACAGAAACCCATTTCTCATATGAATCTATTTCTTTTATCTGAATTATTGTTTTGGTTTCTCTGCACTGATTTCAAGCAACGGTTGGGGAGAGTGATATATTCTCTGGTCCTCGATAGAAAGGAAGTATGGAGCAGGCTATTATACCATGACTTGCCATGTGAGTTTTTCTTAAACATTGCACAGAGATGTTAAACAGTGAAGTGAAAGGAAGCAAAAGGCCATTGGGAAGAATATCAGTCTGTGAAAACCTATCATCATCAAGAATTCAAGAAGCCCCTTAAAATATGTCTCCATGATATGTTCCTTTTAAGTATTCTGGAAAAGCAGTTGATGATGATTCTCCAAGATCCTGATGGCCAAATGATTGGAGAGAGGACCTGCCTAGCCAACTCCAGCTACATGTAAATGCTCTCTCAATGGCAAGGACAAGCCAGAAACCAGACAGTTGAGGATATGAACTGTTAATCTCTTTAGAGATGTAAGGTTACTCAGTACCATCCCATTAGGCAAAATAAGGCAGTAACCTGAGGCATGTAACCTAATGAAAAGGCAGAAAATGGTTGGTTATGTAATTATATTGTCAGTTTTTGAGTCAATTGTTGCTGCCTGAGAAGGTAAGAAATGCTTGT